TCTAATAAATTCCCATCACCATCCTCACGCTTTCGCCGAGTAAATCATAGCATAAGTGAATCCGAATTGAATTCAATGAGTAAATATGACGGTTGAATAATGAAAAGCAACCAACGTGTTCGGGTATTGCCAGGCGGCAAGGGAGATTTCATCGGACGCGAGATTTACTTCAACGCGGGCGGGATTCGTGTAATTATTCGGAAAATCCTGATAACAATTAACGCGATAATATTTTGCGCCGGGGCTCGATTAAATTATCACGGGTACGCGCGGAACGTTGCCGTAATTGTTTTTAGCGTGGCTACACGTCACGATTAATTATAAATCTGTAACCGTGGACACAGTGCGGACGATTTAACTTTCCCGATGCGAATATAATTTCTCGCATAGTTTTCAAGAATCGAACTCAGTTTAATTAACTTCTTCTTCGTGGCTCGCGCGTTCCATCGGATGGGCCATTATAGCGGTCTGAATTCGAGTATGAGGGTGGGATACGCGGCGATTTTCACGCGTTTCAGTGAATCATTTTTAAATTATCGTAATGATATTTATGGTATGTGTGCAATATTTATATGATAAATATGCATCAACCGGACGTACAAGAAAATTCTGCCATTTTTTCATATTAACAAAGAGTGATAAAGAAAATAGAATTTCTTTTATCAAAGCTATTTTTATTTTGGTGAATAATTTTTTACATTTTTTTTTTCCAGTTCTTATAAAGTAAGATATTGATAAGCATGTAAATTATAGTAGACATTATGTAAGTTTTCCTGTTTTTAGAACAGTCAGTCATTAAAATAAGAGCAACTATTTTAAGACACAAATTGATGTTTTTTTTTTTATTTTCTATCATTTCTGCCATCTTCTTGCAATATTCAGTGAACAAATCTTTATTTAAGTTCCATTTCTTCATTTGTTGTATTCATGATAGAAACTAATAGAACGAAATGGTAATAATAATTTATTAGAAAAAATCGCCAAGTATAATATTTGTATTTATTTAAGAAATTGCTTTGAAGTAGAAAAGAAAACTTTTACAAAAATCAACGAATAATCGTAAGACCACGTCGTCTTTCATTATGAAAAAAAAAAAAGAAAAAGAAGAAAGTAATTCTATAACAATATATATATATATATATATGACAGCGAGATGGCCGAAAGTTCGGATCGCTAATTTAAAAGCAATTCAGCGTCTTGTGTGCTTTGGTCTGCTCTCGCCCCTCGCTCGGCCATCTTTCACGGCACATCATCGAGGAGCAATACATGTAAATTGTCTGGCGCACAATGGTCCACGTGCGTGCGTGTGTGTGTGTGTATGCACATCGGAGTCTAGTGAAGAAGCGGCGGCTGGCTGGAAATGCATAAATACATGAACCACGGCGAAACTACGAGCGAAAGAGGGACGGGGACAAGCTTGGCCCGCATATGCCTCGAGCGGGTTGTACCTCCTAGAGGCGTAATAACGCGTGGATAGCAGCTCTCTTCTCGCGAAAATGCGCCCTTTCGGAATGTCGTCGCTTTTTCTCTCCCCCTCTCGAAAAAAAAAATACTATACGATTTCGAGAATCGCAGGAGAACGCGTCAAGTGGATGAGAAATGAGAACAGAGTTTCATCTCTTACGAATTCACCTTACATCTTTAGATGTATTTTTAGTTTCTTTTTTTTTGTAGAGAATAACAGAGGAGTGTCTACGTTGACACGGTGATCACTTATAATTGGTGTTTTCGTTTCTATAAATATTCTAGCGTGATTATAATGAGACGAATATCGTCGATAAAAAGATTATTTTTGGATTACTATTTAATTTTACAATAGACTAATGTTTTGTTCGTTGGTGACAAAGATATTGTATAATAAAAAAAAATTAAAAAAGCAAAAAAAAAAGTACTAACAATTCACTAACTTTCATTAACTTTCTTCTAGGGCAAAATTTATTATTTAAAAAAAAGGTTAGAGTGCTTGACAACCGAAAGCTTTCTTAAACATCGAAATCTTCTTTATCCTAAAATAATATTTTTTAGAAATGATATATTCTGTAACATACTTATAAATTTCTACGTTTCAGACAATTTGTTAATACGGGATTTATTTTTACGATTTATACGTTGAGACGTGTGCGCGCGTAATGGTGGTTGAATTATTAGGAAGGAAGGATGAAAAAAAAGTTTGAAACTTTCTGGTTGGTAAATACGGGGTGAAAAGGAAGTAGGTTTCGTCCCATTTTGCACTGTTATGCGAGAGAATTTTTGGCCGGAAAGATTCCGCTCGGACGGGGTGATACGTGAATTTTTACGGCGGGGAAAAGTTGAAACACAGCCGTTAGTTTCGCCACGCGGGAAGTCAGCTTTGTT